TCTAAATAAAAACACATGAACTATTTTTTTTCTTTCTCTCGTCTTTATCATTGACGCATCAGAAAAAGCAATAAAATCATAACCTTATGTTACATTGTATGAAAAAAATTTATTTAATTAATGATCAAAATGATAGTAACTATTCATCAAAATATGAATTAGTTTTAAGACTTGAATATTTCACTTGACTCTGTATGAAATATTTTAAAAATAAAAAAATAACAGCGCAAAGCTTAGTGAAACAGCAGTTTTGTATTCTTTTGAAATTTTTTCGAACTCATTAATATTCAAACCAAGGACGATAAACAGTTCCGAGTATGGTCTCCGATTACTTCAAAACTAGTAAACAAAATCGTTGCTAAAATTTTTTTCATTTCCTAGTAAGAAATATATAACATCTCCAATAGAGAAACTCTTTTCGGGGACATTCAGGCAAAGGTGTACAAACAGATCTTATCTAGATTGTCGAAATCCATGCATCCCCCAGAATACACCATATATCTTCAGCGAGAATTACACACCTATACCCTTACCACTCAAGTGATTTGTGTACATGAAAAACAAACAAAAGTTGGAAAGAATAACCATGAAAAATAAATGACGTTGTTCGATTCTTTTTCTTCCGACTGTTGTTGAGTAGGAACGAAAAACAAACACTCAACATCGACTATATANTACCCTTACCACTCACGTGATTTGTGCACATGAAAAACAAACAAAAGTTGAATAGAATAACCATAAACATTAAATGACGGTGTTCGATTTTTTTTCTTTCCCACTGTTGTTGAGTAGAAACGAAAAAAACCCAACATCGAATATATAAATAGTAAGCACAATTGCCTATCCCCAAAACACAGCAAACATGGCAACAAACATGAGCCGCCCTCGAAGACAACGCTTGGCGGAAAGTTATTTGGTCATCTGGGTCGACGGCAACATCGACATGACCCATGAAGATTGCCAACACACGCTAACACAATTGCGTGATGTTGTCAATCAAGTCAACACCTGCACAACGGCTGAGGAATGTATCCAAAGCCTCCAAGAAAACAGCGACGAGACATCATTCGTGATCTCCTCCGGTGCATTGGGATAACACCTTGTCCCAGATATTCATGGCATGCCAAAATTGGATGCCATATACATCTTCTGTGGCAATAAACAATGCCACGAAGCTTGGGCCAAAAATTGGCCCAAAATTAGAATAAGTAAGTTAGGAAGTAATTTGCGACATAATTTCTTTACACGAGCTGCAAAAACGATAGACTCTTGTCCATAGTATTTTATGGTGAAGAAAATGACTTTTTTATTCTCAGTATTTGTTTTGTTTATTTCGGTTTGAGACATTCTTTTAATAATTATTTTTCCTTCGGAAATACCTCTTTTTATTATATGTGGAGGATATCCATTTTTTGTTAGTGTTTGTTGTAATAAATTTAATTCCTTATTTACTATTTCTTCTGTTGAACAAATTCTATATATACGTATAACTAATGTTCTTATCAATCCTAACTTATACCGGCGACTCTGACAACTATCCCATAGCATGTAAAGTCCGGTATGTGTCGGTTTTCGATAGAGTGATGTAATCAATCGATTCTGTTCACGAGTTACAAGAACATCAAGAAATTCTATAGAATTATTTTCTTCAAACTTCAATGTGAAATGTAAGTTATTATGCCACTTATTTATACGTGTATGAAATTCAAGAATTTTTGTTTTTGAAATGGTAAATAGACAAAAAACATCATCTACATATCTTAACCAAATCATAGGCTTGTTTGTACTAAATCTGTTTAATTTCTGTTCCATCTTTTGCATCCATAAGTCAGCGATTATCGGTGCTAGCGGGTTTCCCATAGCAACGCCATCTATTTGTTTATATATTCTATTTTGAAATCGAAAGGGTGCATCTCTAATTGCGAGATTTAAAAGTGTTTTCAGTTGTTCTCTATTAAAAGGAATATCTATTAGTTTAGTTGGTTTATACATATAATCTAATGTTATCTCTATTGCCTCTTCGACTGGTACATTTGTGTATAAACTCTCAACATCAAAGCTGCACATAATATATGTCTTTTCTTTATCTAATATAGTTTCTTTTATTTTCTTTACAAATTCGAAGGAATCTTTTATATATGAATTAGCTTGCGGACGTACATTTCTAATTGCTTTGGCTAAATATTTTGATAGTTGATATTGATAACTACCTATTGTAGATATTATCGGACGTAATGGATATCCATTTTTATGTACTTTCGGAAGTCCATAAAAGACAGATATGGAAGAACATGTAGATTGTAGTTGACGACGAAGTTTTTTATCTATGATACCCTCTTTAAATAATGAAAATATATAGTTATTTAATTCTTCTTCACGTTTTTGATGAAATTTATTATTATTATCCAATGCCTGAAATTGTTCTCCTTTTAATATTTCTTCTGCTTTTTTCATATACGATTCTTTATCTAATATTACAATACAATTGCCTTTATCAGCTTTACAAATAACTATGTTATTGTTGGATTTTAGTGCTTTCAAGGCTGCTAATTCTTCATTTGATAGATTGCTTATTTTCTTATGTTTAGATGTACGCATTAGTTGTTGTGAAGCGTTATGTATTTTACGACAGATTAATCGAAAAACTGACTCGTGACAATGCGATTGTATCTTCATCGTATTTAATTCTATGTCTGTTTCAAAATCTAGAAAGTGAGTTATTTTATTCTCTATACAAAAGTCCCAACCACGACATAAAAGTCGTTCTTCTGCCTTTGAAAGAGTATATGACGATATGTTATGAATTAATTTTGATTTCATTTCTTCGTACTTTTGTCCAATAGGACCGTGATTTAATTTTTCAAGTTTTTCTTTATGAGTACTCATAACTTTAGAATGTATTCGGGATGCTGAATCATGACAGAGTTTCTTTACATTAATATAATCCAACGAAGAAAGATGTTTTTCTAGATCAATTAAGATCGATGTAACATGTTTTTCTAATTTTCTTGCTTGTTTCTGTCTGCATTCAAATTCACGTAAAAGACATTGACGTTGAAGAGATTTATATTGTTCTGAATTTTTAAGACCTGGTTTCCACAAACGGATATTCACGAAGGTAGGCATTAAGTTATATATTAAACAACATCTCAGAAATTCGACATCACATTTTGCTTTTTGTAATTTCTCTGTTAATCTTTCACATTGTCGTATACTTACCAGAATCGATTCGC